TGCTTTTGCTGACGCTGGCTTTGAACTTGTGATCCTCCTGCCTCAGCCTCCCGAGTCACTGGGATTACAGGCATGCACCATGGTGCCCAGCTTTTATCTTTATTCCATAGATTTGTTCTTGGAGCTGGTATTTCCCAAGCACTCCAGGCCCCAAGATGGTGCTGAGGATCCAGGGCTGAGCCCTAATGGTGCTCCTGGTCTTCCAGGGAGGCAGGGGTTCCTGATCACACCCCACAGGGAAGAGGTGGATGGAGGATGGTTGGGCCTCAGATGGGGAAGAGAGGTCAGGGTGGGGTGGTGTCTGGGGCCAGGTCACGCCACAGTGCTGAGACAGGAGCTGAATGCCTCGTGCTTCCTGCCCCTCTGATGGCTGAGGAAGTCCTGGCTTCCTGATTGGCACTGCTCGCTGTCAGGAGGGAACAGAGCAAGTTGTCTGTGGAGCGGAGCATGAGGCTGAGCCGGCTGGGGCAGGCATGCAGGCCGGGGGGACCCGACACTCTGTGGGGGCCCACTCAGAGCACCATGGGCCACTCCACTCAGTTATCAGCTCCAGGGTCTGTCCGAACTCCTGAGGGCAGCAACAGAGCCCTGCCTGGGGCCTGAGGCACCCCGGTGGTGACTGAAGCAACTGGACATGGGTATTAGGGTGCAGGGGATTGGGTAGTTACCTGGCCTTTAGCTTGGGCCCCATGGGGTCCTCCCTTTGGGCTAGGGGCAATTTTTCCTCGATGGGCACGTGCCCTACATATGCTGAGCTACAGCCCCAGGCCTTCTGGACACTTTTCTTTTTGTACCGAGGATCGAACTCAGGGACACTTAGCTACTGAGCCCCATCCCCTGCCCTATTTTGTATTTTATTTAGAGACAGGGTCTCACTGAGTTGCTTAGCACCTCACTTTTGCTGAGGCTGGCTTTGAACTCGTGATCCTCCTGCTTCATCTTCCCARGCTGCTGGGATTACAGGCGTGCGTCACTGCACCCAGCTCACTTTTTRTTTATTCATKTTTATTTTTATGTGGTGCTGAGAATGGCCTCACCCATGCTAGGCAAGTGCTCTACCACTGAGCCCCAGCCCCAGCCCACCGTGGATACTTTTTGACCCTTGTCATTCAGTTTTCTTCATGGGATCTATTGGGAAGGTGTGAGGTCATTCTAATGACTGCAAGGAATGCCAGGCAAGGTCACCTGTTGCTACACCTCATTTTAGACTGTGTCCATTTTCTTACCATAACTTTTCAGAAATAAGTGGTGGAGGATAGGAGGGAGGATGTGGGGGAGTGCAAGCAGACAAAGGCAGACGGGGGAAGACAGGGTGCCCTGTGAGCTGGGACAGCTGTTTCCCTGTGTCAGTGGGCCCATGGCYCTGCAGGGCTGTGACCCTGGGTTGGTGAAGCAGGTAGTGTGTGGTGGTTATTTGCTCTTGGGCTCGCCTGGTCTGCTTTGGCCACTAGATCTCGGTGGGGAGAAGAGCCCGGCCAGCCCGATGGGCCAGGCTGTGTCCCTGCTGCGGAGAAGCTGGGGCCTGACCACTGAGGGGCAGGAGCTGCAGTCTTAGCCAAGCCCCAGCTGGCAGCAGCACCCCAGGGTCGTTGGCCAGCATGCTTGCCGCTGGGCCCGGGCACTGAATGGGTTAAGCCTCAGGGTTAAGCCACCAGGCAGTTGGGTGTAGCTGACTGAGGCACAGGAGTGGCAGGGAGCAGGAGGGAGGAGCTGGCAGATGGCTCTTGGGGGCCTGGGAAAGGGAGCTGGGCTTGGCCCTGGTGGAGTGGTACAGCCTTCTAGGGCTCCTACACAGGCCCAGGTGACTTCATCTCTGAGGAAGTGATTTAGAATCCCAATTTCCAGGAACCATCGGATGTATGGAATCAAACTCCCATGGAGTCCACACGGGGACAAGCTCCAGGTAGACAGGGAACCAGGTTGGGGTCTTCTCCCACCTGTTGCTCAGCCACCCATCTGTTCCAGGGACCCTCTTATTGAAACTTTCCCATCTGGGCTCCCTCCATTGCCGCATACCCACTCCCACCTGCTTGGTGTTTGGGGTGCCCGTTTCTCTGCCCTCCTCTGCTGGGGACTGGCTGCCCCATAACTGCCCAACTGAGCTGCCTGGGTCCAGATGAGCAGATCTGCTCCTGTGTGAGGTGTGGGTGGACCAAGTGCCCAGAGGGTCCAGGGTGGAATTATGGTCTCAGATGTCTGAGAGGCAGGTAGGGCTGGTCCAGGCAGGGACTAGCACTTTGTCCCTAAGGAGCCACACGAAAAGGGATGGTATGGCTCTGTGGGCCTGCCAGGGTCTGGGCTCACCTGGGTGAGGATTTTAGGGAGAGCTGGGGAGGGACCAGATGACTATCCTGGTGTGGATGACCAGCAGCAGTCACTCTGCCCATCTCCTCTTGTCCTGTCTTAGATGCTCACAGGATGCTGCCTCAGTTCCCACTTTCTTGCCAAGAACCAGGCCAGAGCACCTTGCCTGGAGGGCTCACAGGACGATCTCACACTGCCCCACCCAGGACTGCCACGGGGAGCTATTACTACCACTGCCGCCCGCTTAGGGACTGGCCCGGCAGGATGCAGTGAGAGGAACCCAGAGCAACAGGGCATTCACTCAGAGAAAGCAAGGAGAGGAACTGTCAACTAAATCCTGACCCAGAAGGGTCATGAGACCAGAGGGCAAGTGGGTCGCACACCAGCCTCAGGGTGATGGCACCCAGTTTAGAGAGGTGAAGAGAGCCCTGGCCAGAGGTGGTCAGAGGGTGGAGCTCAGACATCCTGCCCGGGAAGCCCTTGTTCCTATCTCAGCCTCAAGATGGAAGGGAAGGCAAGCTGAGAGCAGGCTTCATGAGAAATAGTTTATGTATCACAGGGAAACAAAACAAAACAAACAAACAAAAAAACAAACACGCACACACAAAACCACCTACGCATTCTATTGTCATGTATAACTAATTAGAACAAACAAAAATATATAAACAACAAAAAAGTGAAAAACCCCATGCAAATGACCCTGACCAAAAAGATGCTATAAAGAAGGTGGAAAGAAACAAATTTAAGAAGTAAACTAAACAGACACAAGCAATGGCCACAGGAAGTCAGATTCTAGGACTGATTTGATGGCCTGAGACTGTCCTGGGCAGAGCTGAATCCACTGCCCAGGGTTAGGCTCTTGCCAGTGACTGGGATATGGACAAGGCTTTGCAAAGGTCACGAAGACACTGACACATGCAGACAGGCCTTGGGCCCCTCCTTGCATTCAGTCACTGCACTTTTCTACAGGGACATCCACGGAGGTTTTGTGTGGTAGCAGAAACACTGGAGGCACTGGACTTTCTTTCTAGGGGACTACGTGGGAGACATCAAAAGAGCAGGAGATGCAGATGGATGTGTGTGAACCAGTGCAGAGCAGGGCCAGGCACTGGAAACTTCCATGAAGCTGAAGGCCAAAGCCCACCTGTGGGTAGGCCGCTGTGGCAGGCAGGGAGAGCTGGAGACCGACCGGGAGGAATGGAGAGCAGCCTCACGCATGCGGTCGAGCTGCAGAGCTTGTAATGTCCTGCTAATGGGTACCCTGGACGGTGAATGAGGACTGGACAGCATGGGCTGATTCAAAGTACACACTGACCTGTTTGGAAGCTGAAAACCTAACTTGTCCTGAAACTTTTACTTCAAAAGTTTTTAAAAATGTTATACACAATGGAGTATTACTCTGCATTAAAAAATGACAAAATCATAGAATTTGGAGGGAAATGGATGGCATTAGAGCAGATTATGCTAAGTGAAGCCAGACAATCTCTAAAAAACAAATGCCAAATGTCTTCTTTGATATAAGGAGAGTAACTAAGAACAGAGTAGGGACGAAGAGCATGAGAAGAAGATTAACATTAAACAGGGATGAGAGGTGGGAGGGAAAGGGAGAGAGAAGGGAAATTGCATGGAAATGGAAGGAGACCCTCAGGGTTATACAAAATTATATACAAGAGGAAGTGAGGGGAAAGGGAAAAATAATACAAGGGGGAGAAATGAATTACAGTAGAGGGGGTAGAGAGAGAAGAGGGGAGGGGGGATAGTAGAGGATAGGAAAGGCAGCAGAATACAACAGACACGAGTATGGCAATATGTAAATCAATGGAAGTGTAACTGATGTGATTCTGCAATCTGTATACGGGGTAAAAATGGGAGTTCATAATCCACTTGAATCAAAGTGTGAAATATGATATATCAAGAACTATGTAATGTTTTGAACAATCAACAATAAAAAAAGAAAAAATAAATAAAAATAAAAAATTTTCAACTGAAAAAAAAAAGTTGAAAAATTAAGAAAAAAAATTGCAAAGGGCATGTCTTTGAGTGCTATGTGCTATCCACCTGTATTTGGGGACCCCAGCTCCCCTGTGCCCAAGGCCCCCTCCCAGGTCTTATGGTCAATGCCTGCCTGGCTTGGCTGTGGCAAGGAGGTGCTGGGGGGCAGGTGGACCCCAGGGGATTGTGGGGAAGAAGCTGTGCCACCAGTGAGGGGCAGTGAGCCCAAGCCCCACAGCCCTCCAGCTGGGCAGGAACTCACAGGCCAACCCCAGCACCTCTGCTCTTGAAGCCCTTGTCCCTTGGGCTTCTCTCTTCTTTGCATTTGGGATTCAGGCCAGCCGAGGTCTCACACAGGCTGTTCTCCAGGACTGAGTTGGCCTCAAGTCCTTCACCTGGGGAAGGGCCCTGAGAGAGGATCTGACTACTTTCTTGGAGGGGATTCTGTGCCAACCCACCCACCCTCTGTGCCTCATCTGGGCCTTGGCAGCCACCCAAGCAAGACTGGCACCTTGATCTTTCTTCCCAGAAGATGAGACCGTCTCTGAGCAGGGACCCCCCTGCCCCCCACCTCCATGCCTGCTGGAACGCCCTGCCTTGTTCCCCTCTGCAGTTGAGCAGAGGGGATGAAACCATTCCAGAGGTGTCCGTGTGACTGTGCATATGGATAAATGCAACCAGAGAGTAGAGTGCACAAACATTTATTTACAAAAAATTCAAGTTACATATGATACAGGTTTTTTACACACAGTAGTTTAAACAGAATTATCTTATCTATTTTTACTACCAGAAGGTAAATAAAAACATTTAACTACTTATTTTTTTTTTTTTTTGCTATTTTTGTACAAAGAACAGATCATGCACATTTCTTCCTTCAGTTTTAAATCTTTTGCTAAGTGCAAATACTAGATTCCTCTCTCCAGTCTTAAGGCAAATAGATTGGGACAGTGGCCAGGCAGTCTCTTGCCCCCAGGAAGCAACCCCGTGTCCCAGAGGGTAAGGTGTCAGCTGCATTGAAAACGCCCGTTTGATGCGACAGGGGCTGATTCTTGGGCTCTGGCCCCGGCATGGGTGCAACTCCTCACCTTCCCTGTCTGCCTGGACACTGAGGTGCCTGGAGAGCTGAGGTGGTCACTCTTGGACGTTTGGTTCTGGTGCTAGTCTGCAGCCCGGCTCGGGGAGCATGATGTGGAACCAGATGCCCTTGACGGGCATGCAGCAGTTCCCTCTCCTGAAGCAAAGTGTGGCCACAGAAGCTTGAACTCATCTCCAAGGGGACATTACTGGCTTAGACCATAGGCAGAACGTCATTCTGATCCCCCACTCTCTCTCTAGTTTGGGCACCACCTGCACTGCACTGACTGTCCTTGCAGCTGCCACAGAAATGGCCAGTTTCCTCATCCTGTCTCAGCCTTAGCCCCTTGATGGAGCTATGTGGTGGGGGCACACAGCTGGAAACAGGCTCACAGCCTACAGGGACAGCTCGAAAGGCCCCAGAGGGGCAGTGTCAGGGCTTCCTCCCATCTGTGGGCTGTGTGCTGCCTTCTCTACTCCAGGGGAGGTGCAGAGAACATGAGTTTGTGTCTAAGGTACTTAGAGGATCCTGTCACTGTGGTGAGCAGCCCACCTTTCCAAGGCACTGTCATTCGGGATAGAAGTAAGTTCAGGCAGCTCACTGGGAGGCTCCCGAGCCACCTCCCCATGTGCCCCACCCCATGTCCAGGTGACCACCTGTCTTCAAAACTTTCATCCTGAGCAAAGGCAGAAAGAATGTATCAAGTAGACCTGAATCCTTCAAAGACACCTGAGAAGCTGATGGCAGCAAGCGAGTGGTGGCACTGCTTGCTCTCAGGGCTTTCCACCCCCGAACTCTGTGTGCTTTGTACCTCCTGGAACCCCACAGCCACATGACGAGGACAAGGATGGCCAATACAGGATGAGAAAGAGATGTCTGCTGTCAGGAGGGCTCAATCCCAGCTTTGCAGTCAGAAGCTTTGGGCCTCTGCTTGGCAAGTGGGCCGGAGCCTTGGCAGGACCCTTGGCAGGACCCCACAGAGGCCCAGAGCTGACTCAACCCCAGAGAAGGGCAGCTGTCCCTGTGCCTAGTACCAGCACCTCACCCTCTACCAGCCTCCATCACTGACTACTGAGAACACAGAGGAGGGAGAGAGGTCGGCTGTGACAATACACGGCTCCGCAGAGTCATCTACACCCCAGGGAAGCCCCCAAAAACACCTTAGAGGGAAAGCTGTTCATCACCTGCTGGGTGTTTGTGATGTCTCCCAGTACTGGGCTGTCTGGGTGGCCTCTGTGGTGGCTAATGGAAAAGGATTTTGTTTGGTTAGTGTCAGGACTGTTCAACCTTGGTAGCCACCTGGTGCAGAGGGCCAATTTCAGCCTGACTTTCCAGGGAATGAGAAAAAGATAGCAGGCCATGGAAAATTCTTCAGTATTCAAAATATGTGAACAGGAGGAAATGCTCAGATAAACAAAACCAAACCCACAGTGCGGGACAGTTCTCTGTGGTTGCCTGACCTGAGAGGGCCTTGGAAGGGAGGGAGGGAGGGAGGGGGAAAGGGCCTGAAGGGGCATTGTGGAAACACTGGGTTCTGGACTGGGAGGGACAGCATTTTGCCCCTCATGGCACCGCAGCAATGTCCAAGGGGCTGTGACCCACAGCCCCCACTATCTTTTCACTGAGACCAACTATGAACCTCTGTGAGGGGCAGGCGGCCCCAGACACAGGACTCTTGGGAGTCTCAAAGGAGATGATCACAGCTGCCTTGTGCCCCAGGACTTGGCTCCCAGGTGAAGCACAAGTGCATAGGACAGCAGGGGACCCATATCCCTGAACTGTGGATGTGCCATGGCATGGGCACAACAGCCACTCTTGAAGGGCCTTAGTGAGGGTGGCCATGCAGATGTCTCAGTTCTCTTCCAATGCCACTATTTGCTGCTTCATTTTTATTATGGACCTGACTACACTGTGACCAAGCGGGTCTGCAAAGTTCTTAATTGTGTGGGATTCTCTTAGGAACAGGACAAATGAGCTCCACCTGTCTCCTCCTGCAGGGGCTTGAGTGACAGAGTAGAGCCAGAGCCCCTGTGCTGGTTGCCAAAATGGCAGAACTAGCGAGGAGACTGACCAGCAAGAGCCAGGCCAGTTCCCTTACAGGCACCCAGAGGGCACCAGACTTTGAGAAGCAGTGACTCTTCCCAAGGGAGGAGTACAAGGTAAACCAGCCCACCCTCAAAAGCTGACTCACCACCCCTACTTAGAGGGTGAAGGTGGAACCTGGCCTGGGGCAGGGGGTTCTCTGCCCTGTACCCCCCACTGGCACAGGTTCAGTGGGGGCTGGCCAGAGCTCCAGCTGTCAGAAGCGATGCCGTGGCTGGGGGCCAAAGTGCATGGGCAGATTGTGCTCCAGGGGCACATGCACAGGACCGAAGTCATAGTTGACCCGCACATTAGGCAAAGGGGGCACATAAGGTGCTGGGACAGGGCCCATGTTGAGAGGGAAGTTGTTAAACACAGGCCGGACAGGTGGCAGGGGGAAGGGCGGGTGCACAAAGGCATAGGGTGGCATCTGTGGTGGGTGCAGGTTCTGTGGGACAGGCCGCGGGAGGGCTTCCATCCTCTGTACCTTCTCAGGGGGCTTCTCCAGCGGAGGCCCAATGCGTTTGAAGGTGTTCTCTGAAAGGAAGTAGGGTTCAATTGAGGAGAGCAGGTTGGACCAACTCTGCTGGACTCTAGCTTGGGATCAGGGCTGTACCTGCTAACTCTGGGGCCCACCAGAGCTGAGCAGCCAAGGGGCAGCTAGATATAGCTGGCAGTGCTTTGAGGGTTGACCTCTGACCCTCAGCACACTCTTTCGTCTGAGCCCAGGAGGGGCTGCTCTACAAGGCAGCTGGCTCAAGTGCCAAACATAAAATACCTATAGCCCAATTGTCAGTACCAGGAGCCAAGGACAAACTGTATTTCCCAAGAGTGTCACACTCTGTGGTGTTTCCTAGAGAATGGCACATTCATCCAGCTCAGTACAGGTTGGGGCAGTCCCCATGCAAGAGCGAGACTCTCCTTGAGAGCTAGAGCCTCAAGGAGCTACCACCTCCTTAGTGAGGCCTGGCTTCTGTTTGTATGAGGAGTTCAAATCTGACCTTAGGATTTCCTCACCATTAAGAGATGCCAAAACTGTATCCAAGGCTTCGATGACCTGGATGGTGGCCCCTCAGAGTCGGAGTTTCCCTCCCCCTGGTGGCCCTAGGTGCTCTGCTCCACCATCCCGAGTGTGCCTAGCGTGGGGCTGTGGCTGGGGAAAGCACTTGCCTCCATTCTTTCTTTTCTGCTCCTCCTCAGCCTCCTTCTGGATTTCCTCGATTAGCTTCTCATCATCTTCCTGGAGTAAAAGCAAAAGGCAAAGTGAGTTTGCAGGTCCTGGAAGTGTGAGGCCCATGGGGAGAGGGAGGCTGGCYTGCTGCTGGACAGTACTGGGATGAGGCCAGACTCTGCCAGTGACCAACGGCGTTTTGAGCTGCACACAACTTCTTCCCATTCCCAAGCATCTCTGTTGTTCATCAACCAGGGGTGTCCCCATAGGGAAACCTATGGGAAAGGCTGGGTGGGGGTTTGTCCCAGCAGGTAGCTGCCTGAGATTGGGCCCAAGAAATTTCAGGTCCCTAGTCTGAACCACGTACAGCAGGCCTTTGTGCAGAGCACAGATAGTCCTGCCCTTTCCCTGAGCTGAGCTGGGGGGCAGTTCTGCTGGTCCAAGCTGGCCTTTTACTTCCAGCTTCCTGCAGCAGAACTCTGGTATGGGCTGGGTGGCAGAGAAAGGGGGTGGAGGCACAGCAGTGAGAGGGTAATTCTGCCACTGACTTCGCTGTTTTCCCTTCCAAAACTCAACACTTAGTGGCTGGGTTTGTGCCACATGCAGCTCCCACATCTCTACTTGCCAGCAGGTGTCATGGAGGAAGAATTGGGCTGCTGCTCTATCTAGGACATACCTCCCCGCCCTATAAGGCCTGCTTTGTGAGATGGTGCTGGGCCAACCTGCTGCCCTGAGTTAGAGAGAGGCTTTCTAGTCACGGTGGGTCCAAAAGAACATTCCCTGGGTTTAAAAAATCCCAGGAAAATGGGGCCCTTCTTTCCTGGCCCAGCTAAATTCCAAATATCTTAAGTGTTAGGGTTTCCTCTCTGAAGTGGGCTGTCGTGAGGACTGAGTGGGTGGTGCATGTATAGGTCTCAGCAAAGAGAAGCCTCATCACTAAGGGGCGGAAGAACTAAAAAAATACAGATTTTAGAAACTTGAAATGTTTCAAGAAAAACAAACGGAAACCAGATTGGAAGATGCCCCAATGTTTGTCTCTCAGTGGCATCTATCTATCTATCTATCTATCTATCTATCTATCTATCTATGGGGGGGGGAACTATAATTGCCTTTTTAAAAAGCATGTCTGTTTATTGAACTCAATACCTTTATTTTATTTATTTATTTTTGTGTGGTGCTGAGGAGTGAGCCCAGGCCTTCGCACRTGCTAGGCGAGCGCTCTACTGCTGAGCCATAATCCCAACCCCTATAATTACTTAAAAAAACTTTTTTACTTGTAGATGAACCCAATATCTTTATTTTTTTATGTGGTGCTGAGAATTGAACCTAATGCTTTACATGTAATAGGCAAGCGCTCTACCACTGAGCCACGACCCCAGCCCTCCAATTGCTTTTAATACCAGAATGTTGGAAATACCAAGCCTTTTGTAATTCTGCAATTCTACCTCATATTTCCACAGAGTTTCAAAATCTCAGTAGCTTCGTTATTGTTCAAGTAAGACAGGTGTCCTGACTCTGGCCACATATTCATATTAGTACCACATTACCACACCTCAAAAKTACTTCTATCCTGCACCTAAATGTAGTTGAGCCCATCAGTCCTGGGACACCTAAGGCCTTTGATGGCACAAGAAGGTACCTTAGGGGGTGGGGCTGTGGCTCAGCGGTGGAGCTTGGAGCACTTGCCTCTCGATTAGCGCTGGGTTCGATCCTCAACACCACATAAAAATAAATAAACAAAATAAAGGTATTGTGTCCATATACAACTAAAATTCAAAATAAAAAAGGAGGCACCTTAGAAATCATCCATTTCAATTTGCTGAGGGCACAGAAATGAGGTCCCAGAGAAAAACAGTTGCTCAAAGTTAGGGTGAAAGTTAGGTGGTGAACTGGGACAAAGATTATCTCTTCCATCCACAGTGTCATTCAAATAGTTTTCCTAGAGATAATCTGCAGTTATCTTGAGATTCCTTTGTTCCCATTGCTTATGTGAGTTGAAAGTCAGGGGGACGTTCATTCCTTCACTAGACCTGTGTTCAGAGCCCTCTATGCACCAGGCACCTGTCCTAGACACTTTGAGGACATAAGAGAGGCAGCTGTGCTCCCTCCCCTCGTGGAGCCAAGGTCTGTGCTGTGACCAGTTTTAGCTGGCGTCCTGCATGGGTCTGGTCAGTGCTGGGTAAAATCACAGCAGTGAAGACTCTTATGACACACGAGTCAGGAGGAATAGAGCATGAGGTACTGGAGAGAATTCCCCTTTGGCAGGCCGCTGAGGGTGAGCATGTGGGTGCCATACTCATTTCTATCATGGGGCTTTCTGTGGCAGGTTCCCAGCCTCCTGGATAAATCCTAGCTGAGAGCGCCTCTGGGAAGGCTGAGGCTCTGGCACAGGCGGGTACAAGCCAAGTTTCTCCCAGTTCTGACAGCTTCAGTAGGACAGTGCAGAGGTTCATTGCGGGCAGAGTCCCAGCTTGCCTCTAGAGTTCTTCCAAGGTGTGGCCTCAGAGCCCACAGGAATGAAGCACCCTGCCCCCAACTGCCTTTCTCCATTCCTTCCAGAGTTCTGAGCAAGCTTTTGATTTGGCAAGGGGCCTGGAGACCACCTGCCTCAATCCTTGTCTTGGGAATTTGGCAGTGCCTGTAGCATCTAAAAACAGTCTGTATTTCACTAAAAAGTTCTGGTGTTCAACATGACTTTACCATAATTTGTGAGTCAACTGCCAGTGGATTAGGTGTCTCAGATTTCAACTTTCTCCAAATGGTTTGAGTCACAGGATGCTGTGTTTAGCAATTTGAATTGAAAAAAAAAAAAACAAAAAACTTTTTTTTAAAAAAGAAAAAATACTGACACTTCAGCCAGATTGCTTTACTTAAGGGAAGACACTCTGCTTTTACTTGGTGTGTAAGATTCTTTCATAAGCAGTTCCCCTCAGCACTTAAAGTTCCTCAAGTCAAGAGCAAAGACAGACTACACTGTATACTTACAAATGGCAAATTTTATCTTATATTGGTTAAAAAAAAAAAAAAAAGGGAGAAGACTGGGTTCAGATAGATTTTGGCCACTCATCATAGCCCTCTTTGGGTATGGGCTAGCTGACAGATGGCAACTGAGTCTCTTCTGGAGGATAGTTCCCTCGGGAGACATTCTAGTCATGATGGGCATGGGGGGGGGCGTGAAGTGGGAAAGCGTTTGGCCTGGTGCAAATCTAGGACACCCCTGGGAAGCTGGAAATGTGGAACAATAGGAGGAAAGATGACGACTGAGAGGCCTAACCCCTTTCTTCCCCCTGGACTGAGTTATATACAGGAAACTAGGGCTGAAGTTGCTCAGCCAAACGGTGAGCAGTGGGGGCTCATGCTCTGTGCCACTGAAAGTGACACTGGCTTCTGTACAACGAGGCCATGGTGAGCGTGATGGACAGGAACACCTATATGACTTTGGAGCTCCAGGTCTGGGTTCAGGGACCAGCCCCACTCTCACTACCTAACGTGGAGGCTGGACATTCTAAAACAGGCTTGTTTTAAGAGGCCCTTAACCTCTCACAGAGTGCCAAGTACAGCGGTGGTAACACTGAGAGTGCTTGTGCAGCCCTGCTCCAAATGTCTCACAACTTCTCTGTTAGCAAAGCATTATGAACTCATCCCACCTTACAGATCAGAACTCTAGGCAGTCCAGACCCAATGCCTGAGCTCTTGACCACAGGAATCGCTGGTTTCTGAATCATAGCCTCTGGGGAAGGAGACCCCAGGCACTACCTTTTTGCCAAAATACCATAGGGTTCTTTCTCCTCAGGGTGGGCATAATTCTGTGGCCTCCACTAAATACCAGAAGTGGCAGAAACAAACAGAGCAAGACACAGCTTCAGAAGCTCAGCAGCAGGAAAAGAAGGAAAAGGGGCCTTGCTCCTTGATATCCTCACAAATAATTCCGATGTTCTTTGGCTCGCCACCCATGGCGAATATGCCACTCCTTAAGATGTCCCAAGTCAATGGTYCTGACAGATTTCTTTGGCATGTGGCCTTTGGATAATAGCCAGCAGAGCCCTCTTGCCCATAGTGGAGCAGGGAATAGGAGAGCCCCACAAGCCTCATTTGAGATGAGCCAGAAACCTGAGTTGCAGACAAGAGTCCACCACTGTCACCTCTGACCAGTAATGTTCATGACCATTGATTTCAGCCTATCCCCAGGTTGGCAAATAACACTTGAAGGCTTCCTTGCCTGAGGCATTTCTCATGAGGTGACCCCCTGAATGCCAGAGGGTCCCAGGAAAATTTTCTGTCAAAAAAAACAAAAACAAAAACAAACAAAAAAAAAAAAACAGGGATGGAATTTATTCACTAAAAAAGGTCATTACAGGGCTGGGTTTGTGGCTCAGTGGTGGAGTGTTCATCTAGCAGTGTGAAGCCCTGGTTCGATCCTTAGCACCACATAAAAATTAATAAAATAAAGGTATTGTGTCCAACTACAATAAATAAACAGACAAATAAATAAGAGCTACATCCCAGCCCCTTCCAGTATACTTATTTTAGAATTTACTGATTTTTTTAAGTTATATATGATACTATATCTTCTAGTATACTTTAAATAATAACTAGATTATGTATAATACTTAATAAAATGTAAAAGCTGAGGCTGGGGTTGTGGCTTAGTGGTAGAGCACTTGCCTCACATGTGTGAGGCACTGGGTTTGATTCTCAGCACTGCATATATATAAGTGAATAAAATAAAGGTCCATCAACAACTAAAAAAAAAGTTTTTTTTTTTTTAAAAAATGTAAAAGCCACGAAAATAGTTGCTATTCTGAATTATTTAGGTAATAGTAAGAAAAACAAGTCTGTATCTTCAATACAGAAAATATTTGTAAGTTCAAAGCCAGTCTAAAAAATAGTATGGACCTGTCTTAAAGGGCTGGGGATGTGGCTCAGTGTTAGAGCACCCACCCCTGGGTTCAATCTCAGGTACCAACAAAACAAAACAAAAAAAGAACAAAACATTCAAATCCAAACCAAACCAACAACAACCCCTGAAACCAAAACCAAATCCACTTAAATTTCATTCTGGAAGACCA